TTTTTTTTTTAAAATTAATATTTAAAATTATTATTTTTTTTTTAAAAAAACAAAAAATTATAAAAAAAAAAAAAAAAAAAAAAAAAAAAAAAAAAAAAAAAAAAAAAACTAAAAAAAAAAATAATAGTTAATAATTGTTATTTATATATTTCAACTTGTAAAAAAAAACTCTTAAAATATATACAGTTATTCTTCTTTATAATTATGCTATTTGTTTTATATAAAAAAATATAATTATAAAATTTTAATAGTAATATAATTATCATCAACTCTTTTTAACAATCACTTGTACCAAAATTTTTTAAAAAACTCTATTACTAAAAATACAAGCGTGTATAGTAGTATCGTTATAAGTTAAAAAAAAACTATAAAATGACAACTATTATTTAGAGGTAGTTCTTATATGCTACCTGCTAATAGTCTTAGAGTTTATCACTTACTGCGAGTGTGATATCTGTTGTTTAAAAATAGTTCTTATATGCTATTTGCCAACAAGTTTATAGTTTATTACTTACTGAAAAACAAGTATTTGTATACTTACTCTAATAGAAGTCTCAATAGAGACTATAGATTGCTGTTACTTTTAGTAAAGAAAAATCTACACTCTTTAAAATAGCTCACTCCCTCCAAAAGATTGGTATTGTTTACACTTACCAAATTTGGATAAACTTAGTAGAATGCAACTACGTGTTTGTTTATATCAATACGGAGCTACGTCACATGGCAAGGATCAGTGCCCTGGTTTAGAAATATCCGAAGTTTATTATACATCACAGAAAGAAAATACCAATGTTAAAGTAAAGCTTTACAATAGAAATATATTAAATGTTGCAATTAGTATATAATTTTTTTACTCTTGCACAGGTCATAATAGTGTATCTTCTTTATATATATGTCATAATTATGACTTCTTTTTTTTTGTTTTTTCTATCTTTATCTTTTAAATTTCTTTTTGTTTAGTATACTCTTCTCTCTCTTTTTTTTTTTTTCCTTTATATTCTTTTTTCTTATACCTTTTCTATATGTTTTTCTTTTTTTTTAGTTTTTTTTCATCATAGATGAATTATGGTTTAGTCTTTCTACCAAGATCTAGGTAAAAAAAAATAAAAGAAAAGAGGTGGTCATGGTAAATCCTGGCTAGTGAATTGTGGATTTCTAATCTGAGGTAAATTAAAGAGAAGCAAGAAGGCTGATTTTACTCTGACAGGTCACACATAGATGCTTTCAGTAACTAGATGAGTCACACTTTAGTATAAAACAGCTAAGCTGTAGATAGAAAACATGAAGATAAAACCTGTATATATTCTATTTTAAATAATAAAGTTGTGATATGACCACTTGAAAAAAAAAAAAAAAATAGTAATATAATTATATAAAGTTTTTTTAATAAATATATATACTGTATTGCTAATAATTTTTTAAAAAGTAGTACTTATAAAGAAGGTGTAATTATATAGAAGGTGACTGTAGAGAAAGACAACTGTATAAAAAAAGAATTTTATAATCTAAATTTTACACTTATATTACTTCTCTAAATCATTATTTTGATTTTTTTTACCTTTTTTTTTTTTGCCAACAAATAAGATTTATCAATATAGTAGTAGTACTGTAAATTGCTTATAACTTCGATCAGTAAAGTGTAATATAAAAGTTGTTGGATTAAATTGGATTAAACGAATATGTTGTAGGGCAAGATGAAAACTTCACGTTTGTCTAATAATTTTGACGTTTAACAGACGAGATAATCTACCCGAGCTTCCAAAAAAAGTATTGTAAACCCGTATATAAAAAGTCTAATCAATTGTGTAACGATCTACAAAATCGGGGCACTCGGGACGTTTCTACCTCGACAACCTACCTGCATATTCTTGCATACTTTATCTGTTACATCTAACTGTATATAACATAATATAAAGTCCCGGTCTCAGTCTCGGGAGGATCCTGAGCATTTTTACTTAGAATTCCCGACCATATTTACTTATCCTTAACCACTGGGCAAAAGTTAAAAATGTATATCAGATATATAATAATTATATACAATTATCCACTGTATTAATAAGAATTTTTAAGGTTTAAACAGCACCATATCAGGTTATTCCCATGCGTTCGTGTTAAATGAATCCATGAGTGAATTAACCCGAATATGACATATGGATTTTCTTGGATAAACGGTTTTTAATAAAATTTCAACAGGATAGACATTATAACGTTCAAAGCGGATTTCATATGACGCGAAATACCGGACATCGCCTTAATTAATTGAAATTTAATAATTACAAACTTTAAAAGAATTAAAATGAAAATGTTTAGTCGTCCGTGATTTACAACATTGGAATTATTGTTACAGCATCCAACAAAAGAAAAAATTACAAGTTCTAAAAATAACACAATGTTTATCCAGGAAGATAACAAATTCATTATATCGTATACTATGCATTCTCTTCGTCTTCCTCTTCATCCATAATACTAAAAATATTCTGTCGTTGCTGCTGTTCCTCAGGGAATGTCACAGGTGTATCAACAAAACTAGTTGCGCTCTGATTATCATTATCATTAGCATCAAAAACTTCAACGTTTCGATTTAAATTTTCGTCATCATCTTTATATCTCGTGACGTTACTTCTTAATACGTTGTCACCTGAAGGGGCTGTCTCTTCCTCTTCTTCGGTAAGTAAACCTCGGTGTAATATAGAATCATCGTCTGCTGATGTATTACGGGGTTCGAGTGCAAAATAATTGTCGATCTTTGGTATTGATTTTTTGGAACGTCGGTAGATAGTAGCCACTATCGCGAAAATTATGACTATTGTAATTATCTATTATGTTGCACGCAAACACGCAAAAATAGTAAGGTCTTAGAAACTTCCTGCAAAATTATGTATAAATCAAATAATATGTTACCAAAAACAGTGTAGACAACCAGGATCCATTGGAATCTGTTCAATGAATAAATATTTAATTTTTTGAGTGTTAAAAGTTCTTAATTCAAACCGGAGAAAGAAAACTCGCACACGCACTTCCATCACCAAATGACTTAATTGGGCTTATTGGGGAACCTTTCCATAAAGAAAAATGTAATAATACTATAGATTAGCTGTTACATTCTGGGAAATAACATTCGTTTAAAGGAATTTAAGTTTATATACTTTGGCAGAGCGTTCCAAAACTTGTAAGAACCAATTTCAAAACATTGACACGATTCTTTTGAGAGAGCAATTAGGTGAACTTTTTGGTTAACTTTAAATCTATATGGAGTTATTAATGTGAAGGCTCACCATTTGAGGCTTCAATTTCTTTGACGATCTTGAAAGAACTTTCCTACAATTTTTGTACGTACGTACTGTACGTTACGTTTATCGGATTTACTGATAGGCATGTGACACAAACTAGTTAACTGTTAATATAAAATATTTTTTTTTAAATACGCGAGGTATTAAATGTACCTTCAAAATATTTTAATATGGCGAGCTTAAAAGACATATTACGCAATATTGCTTCTACTGTCAATTCTTCGAGTGTTGATATTCAACCTATTATCGATCTCATTGATAAGTTTATAACAACACAAGAATTCAACACGGATCGTGAGCTTGATAAAGTTAACAAATTTTCTTCAGAATTATTTTCCATATATAATTCTATTCAAGATTACCCGCAAAAGTTTTACATATTTCTAAAGTGTTTGCGAGCTTCATTACCAGTCTTGGGACCTGACGTAGTTATTTCCGATTGGTATGATAAGGTATTACTTCAAATTCTTAAGTCTTCACTTCAGCCAAAGGATATTGTTGAAGAAGCCAAAGGAATCATTCGCGAAGTTCTAGTGTGTGAAACGGATCGAACAATGACATTTAGGAAAGAAATTCTTGAACTTTATTTAAACGAATCAAGTATGATTGGAAAGGCTGCTGGTGAAGGTTATGGAGTGGTGGGTGAACAAGTACATGCATTTTGGTGTCGTAACTTAGAAAATGTACTTAGGGGATTTGGTAGCGTGAAGACAAAGGTAACGAATATATTCAAATATATTGATATTAAGAAAATTTTTTTTAATAATAGATTTTATACGATTTAGGATTTCTTTGTCCTTTTGGATTCGTATTTTATCCGGAAGCAATATCGGTTACAAATATTAAATCTACTCGGGGAATTTATTCAACGACAGGTTGACTGGTCATTATTCATATAATATTTTTCAGAATATTACCTTTAATTTCGTTTGGAAGATATTTTAGACTTCTTTTTTTATAAAAAATTGCGTTTAAATGTGTAGAGTTTAAATATTCACCAGATTTTGGAGACTTCTCTTTTTGATTCATTACTTACATCGCTGCAGGTATTTAATGATTACTATTTGATAGGTCACTGTTAATGTAGTTCACTTCAATTAAGACTATTTTAAAATACTAGAGGGACACTTCCACAACCTTGATTTCTCTATCACTGACTACGCTCGTTATGCTCTTACCTCATATATGTACATCCGTCATCGCTTATCTTCCACGTCTTTACATCGTCTTTATCAGGATTATATGTTGGGATAAACATGACTCCCGATGCGCAGATTTTGATGGCGAATTGATTGGAAATAACTTAAATACTGCCGAAGGGAGTGATATACAAAGAACTGATGCTAAAACTGATGCTGAATCTGACTGGGAGAGATGTGGCAAGTTTCTTATTATTTGCTGAGGCAGGATAGATTATTGTTGTTCAATATAAGTCGGAAATGAGAGTATACTTTTTTATTTAGTACGCCCGTTAAAATTTTTTTTTTTTTTCAGATTCTACTTTCGATAGTATACCTTCAACTCCACCAAATTGTTCACACCTTTTCACGATTTTATACGGAATGTTTCCATGTAATACCGTTGAATTTTTAAGGAATCCCACAGTTTGGATAAAGAACATGAATTGTATGCCTTTTTATGGTGAGATTGATGATGATGTTATCAGATCGAGAAGCATGGTGCGATTCATGCTATATGTTTGCATTATTATTGATTTAATTTATTGAAGAGAATGATATGTAAATATAAATATATATTTTTAACGCTAATAGCCATTATTGCGTCGTCATACACTTCACCCAAACCTCATTTTGAGTAATGCCCAAAGAGAATTATCCGACACTTCACGCTGGATTAAACTTGAACCTGCGGATGTTGTTGCAGAATGTATTGGGTACGATATGGAAAATGCATCTACAACAAAGCATCAGATCAGTGAGTTGGAAGACTTTACAAAAAATGTACTGGAAGGAGTTGAGTCTACAAGTGCTGAAACGAAAACTATAAGGACCAGACGGTCATCTCAGGCAATATCAATACAAGAAATAATGGATGTTCATCAAGCTTTGAAAAGCGGCGTTGAAATTGTCGTTGGAGACGATCCTTGGGTAAGTTAATTTCTATTTATATACACATTATTCGCTTTGACACTCAATGCGTTAATTTATTCCTTTTCAGGACTCAAAGATAATTTCATCAAATTCTATCAGTTCTACATCACCACCTGACTCAAATTTAAGCGTAACACAATCTCTTGGGCCCTTGTCGAACGCACAAGCCAGTGTCGCATTTCTCCAACGAGAAGTAATGTTACTTAGGAACGAATTAAATTTTGAACTATATCTTAAACAACAGCACCTTCAACATATTGGTCGTCTTCATCGTGACCATGTGTTGGATATTAGTGCTGAAGCAGTACGACAAAATTTATACAACGCGTGTAAAAACTTAAAATTGCAATTAGAGAAAACTCAAGCAGCTTTTAATAGACAAAGAGATGAGAATGCAAGCATAAAGAAAAAGCATGTTCAATGGGAAGATGAACTAAACAATAAACTGAAAAAATATAGAGAGGAAAAGAAGGAATGGAAAACAGAATTAGACAAAGTTGAAGAGCAGTTGAGAGAAGCTAAGGTTCATTTTAATGCTTAGTTTGGTTTTAATAATTATTTTAATGAATTATAATATAATAATCTAACATAATTATGTCTATTATAAATACTGATATAGCTTACCATTAAAGCACAAACGAAACAGATTGAAGAAGCTAATGCAATGTATGTATATTTTAATACCATTTAGACATATGTTATTTAATTTATTTAATTCTTATGCATTTTCATTTCCCATTAAGGAATTTTAAACTCGAGAACGATATTAAAGTATCCGAACCTCAACTTCAAAAATTAACCGAATATGAAAATCATATTGATCAATTAACGAAACAATTGTTACTCTGGTATATATATATATTTAGATCTTCGGTATATTTAGTAGATTTTAGGCTGAAGAATTTACATTGATATAATTAGGGAAGCTGATACTCGTAAATTTCAAGAGCAAAAACATCACATGGAAATCCTTGTAGCACAATGGAATAAAATGGAAATGATGTTGGAAGCTAAAGATAAAGAGATAACCCAATTAAGAACAACAGTGAAGTGAATATCTATGATTTGTAATGATATTTAAGAAACATCACGGATTAAATATTATGCTTTGTAATCTTTAGTTCACAATCATTCGTTATTGACGATCTGAAAATCAAATCGGAATCCTTATCGCAAAATCAATCAGGTCAAGGAACAGCGCTAGAAAGACAGGTAATTTTTATATCACTATTATGTAATGTTTTTATAACTTACGTCAAGTATCTGACAAGCATATATGATCCCTTAAGATGCAAATGTGGACTTTTGAGCGAGATAAACGGGATAAAGAATTAAAAAAACTAGAGACCGATTATGAAATGGTGAAAAAACAAAATTATGAATTGCAGGTATGTATATATATATATTATTTCGACAATTTCGTCAAAAAAAAACAGACCTCTAAGATTGCATTTATATCATTATGTTGTCAGTCACAAATTATTGAACTTTCGGCTAAAATTGAGTCACTTGATCCACCTAAAATTAAGACTTAATTGTCATTGTTTCATATTAGAGATCTTATGTTTTGTACATTGTTGTATTAAATGCAGAGAAACGACTATTTATTTATTTGTAAAAGTTTTTACCATGCGATATTCATGCTTGAATGCGTTATATAAATAGTAATATATCGTGAGATATTTTTAACAATATTTAAGTGACATAATAAACCTTATTTACGATAAGGCTGTAGAATGTTACGATAATCACAAACAAGCAAACATATATATGCTGTATATAGTATAAACTACTTTGCAGATGAATACCTTTAATTTGATTGGTTGACAGTGTAACAGGTAATCACGAGCTTTTACGGAAAGTGGAGAGAGATGGATTACCATATTTTTACTTTTATCAAAAATCATCAAAAAAATTAAATATATAACATGCTATATATTCCATAAATTCATAAACATATAATCTACACATTTAGTATTAAGATGTATAATATCTGATATATACATATTATAATTTTTTTTTGGATATTCACAATTTTGGAAGTTTTATATTGGCGCGCTTATTTTAATGTAATTATAATCCAGTATAAACAGGCATAAATAAATATGTACATATATGAAATGGTGCATATAAACAAACATTTAGAGAAAATTGACGCGATGTGATTATTTAAAACGCGATGTGACACGTCTTTTCTATAAGCACAAAAAAATAAAAAAACAACAGTTTACAAATTTAGAAAAAAATACTCTAAAAAGTAAGATCAACGCGCACCTGATTAATCACGCAAACTAGTTAATTGTGATTATTTGTGATTGCATATAAACAGCGCCTTTCCTGGTTTTCCAGTTTTTTTTCTTTTCAAAATCGACCATTTCCGTTTTTTTTATAATTATTATTATTTTTTTTAAAAAAAACATTATTTTTTTCTTTATTTTACAAACCTTATTTCTGACAAAATAAACCATGGCGAAAACTTCCTCAGCTCCTAGAACTAAAAAGGCCGCTAGCCTTCCTGCTCATCCAAAATATGAAGATATGATTCGAGGTAACTTTAGTGTGAAAAATTTTTGCCGTGGGAAATAATTATTTAAAACAACGAAAATGTCGGAGAAAAAACTTTTGATCTGCGAGAATATGTAATATCCGTTTATGGAAAATTTTTTAACCCATTTTATGCTTTACATTATTTTATATAATATCTTAGATGCTATTGTCGCCTTGAAAGATCGTAAAGGAAGCAGGTGGACTATAATTAATATTTTCGAAAAAATTTTTTTATATATTAGAGTTTTATTTACTTACGCGTTTGGTGTTTTGGTCATTATTAGTCGTCAAGCTATTAAAAAATATATTATTAGCTCGTATAAACTTCCCGATAACTCTATTACAAACAACCGCCTTCGTATCGCTATTAACAAGGGTGTCGAGAAAGGTTTATTTGCCTTTTACAATGGTAGGCGTTATTATAATTTATTATTATTTGTTTGTTTGTTTTTATGACTTTGAAATGAAAATATTAAAGATAATATATCTATATTATAAAAAGGACCGAGTGGAACTATTAAGCTTGTTAAAAAGGAACCAGTAAAGAAAGAAAAGAAAGAAGTCGAAAAAAAGGAAAAACCCAAGACTGCCGTTAAAAAGGAAACAAAACCTAAAGCTGAGAAGGTATATGTTATATCTAAAATTTTTTTTATTTAAGTATCATAATTGATTTTTAATCTTTTAGCCTTCCATTATAGAAAATCAAAAAAGCAGCCCCCAAGAAGACTGCCAAGAAAGCTGTAAAGAAAACGAAGAAGCCTACAACCAAAACAACCAAGCGAGCCAAACCTGGTGCTAAAAAAGGCGTCGCAAGAAAATCCTCTACCAGAAAGAGAACTACATCTTAAGAATTCCATTTTATTACTATCGGGATTATACGTTACTATTTAGAAAATTGAAGTGTTGACTTTTTAAATCCCTACCTTTTTTTTTTTTTCTTACGATATTTTTGTGCGGGTTTAAAACAATTTGAACGTTTTTTTTTCTTTGGCCTGTAATTATTTCAGTACAATTTTATTAGCAATAGAATTTTCGCTTGTTGATCAATATATTCATACCGATGTGTATATTTATCATTGACATTCTAAACTCTTTTTTTTTTTTTTTGCTTCGCTAAGACGTTTATGTAACTTGTCGTCTTTTCTATATAGTTTTTTCTTATTTTTTTTTCTACCCTTTTACATTCCATCTTCGTGTAAATAACTCGCTTTTAATTTTCTTGAATGAATATTATTAATATTAGTATTTGCACTAAAGTATTGAAATAAACATGATTTTTATTGCTTCAGTTGTATATATGTGTTTTAATTACTCAAAAGTTTACGTAAAGTAATATAACAGATAAACGATTCACAGAATCATCATCAATATTTGATATTTAGATTTAAAATTTTTTTTTTTATTTGCTTTCAAAATAAATTTTTTTTTTTTTGTTTTTTTTTGTAACACTAGAATCAGAATCCTTCTCCCAAATTTCTTGAAAAAAGCGACAAAAAAAAAAAAAAAAAAAAAAAGCGAGGGACAAAAAAGAAAGATATTGTGCACGTGAAATACTAGTACAAGAAAAAAGATTGATCAAAATGAATTAGATCGTTTGAATCCAAAGTTCATAAAAAAAAATCACCCAAGGTATGAACAGATGCATAGTTGTATTTCGATAATCAATCACTTTATTTGATAACCCCGATGTTTTTTGGAACATATAAAGAAGGATAAATGTTTTAATTGATTTTTTCAATTCGCTTAATACAAGCCTCGTTAATCTTTAAAAAAAAACAAACGAGGATAGGGATAGGAAAGATAAGAATAACGGATTTATGAGATACTTATATATGAATGATGATATAATAATAGAATATATAGGGTAGGATGTTTTTTTTTTTGATTTTTTCGTATAAAACTAGGAAGATAATTATGTCGTAAAAAATGGATATGTATATAATGTTGATAGATAGATAGATATAAAAATCTGGAAATATAATTTTTTTTTTTTTTGGTTTTCTTTTTCCTAAGAAAATTTGGTTTTGGTTTAAACAAAACAATGCAAAAAAAAAAAAAAAAAAAAAAACAAGAAATAGAGGAATGAAGTATGTAAGAAAAAATATACAACAAACATTCTTATCATTAAGATAACCTGACAATACACCAATGATAAGAGCTTGTTTTCTGCCAGTCTATTTAACAATTGAAGAAAAAAAAAAATTTACAGATTTGGCAGTCTATGCAATTCGAAAAATGAACGAAATAAACCAACACAGAGAAACGAAAATTCATGAATCTTGATTCAAAGAAATGAAATGAAAATCCGTAAATTTTTAATTGCCAAGTGGTAATTTACATCGTTTAAATCTCGAAATTCTATGGTATATAAGTCTATGGAAAAAATGCAAATGTTCTATGTATATATATATAATGTTGAGATTTATAAACACAATGAAAGCGAAATATATATATTTGGGTATTTGGGAGAAGGAAAAAAAAGTTAAATACAGGAAGAAAATACAAAGAAGAGCAAATTTTTGATGTTTTTTTTCTTTTTTTTTTATAAGTGTATAGTGTCCGAGGACCTTTTAATAAAAGGTCGACCGAAAAAAAAAATAATCGGCCCGCACGAATTTCAATATATATATTTTTTTTATCTCGTTTAACACAAAGCAAAAACCGAATTGATTAAGATCAAATTCTAATTATCCGTCAACAATCCTTGTAACAGCATCTCTTGCTGCTTTAAACCATTCTGAAACTCAGATAAAAGTTGCTGAGAATTACGCCTAGGCGTTTCAAGAGCAAACGCATAATGTTGATCATGAGTTGATTGAGACTCTAGAGAAGATGAAAGACCAAATGAAGAATCAAAAACATTTTGATTAAAAGTAGATCCGACACCATCGAAATCATTGAAAAATCCACTCTCTTCTTCGATAGGAGAAACAGGATAATGTCCCATAGCCATCAATTCATAATCATTAGCAGACATCTCAACAGATGGTGAAGAACATTGGAAAAATGATGTAGAAGATGAATCAAGCATGAAACCATCATCAACAGGTATATTCCCACGAGCGCTTATATCCATCTGACTATTGTATAATTGGTTTAATTGATCTATATATATTGTCGGGGCCGAAGACAATAATAAATTACCATTAACAGAACCGTTAACAGTACCATTGACAGAACCATTATGAGGAACATGTGCAGCCTCATAACGTAAGGCAGACCTTCCTAAATGATTACCAGATTGGATAGAAGGAGGAGATAAAGACGCAGGAGAACCTACAAAAGGAGAAAGCAAAGGAGTAGAAACTGTCGAATCACTTGTCCAAGAACTAGCAGAGTCTACAGAAGAAGCTCTATAATGTCCGAAAAGAGCTTTCTTTTGTAAATGAGGATAAAAAATTTCCTCTTGATCATCAGCACCTTCCAAGTTTACGGGATATATATGTCTTCCATCATCAGGATTAGCGTAACCATCAGTAAAAACAATTTTTGGGTCAGCTTTTTTACGACCGTTGACTTTTGTTATAGCTTTAGTGTTACCAGGAGTTTTCAAATTTTGCTTCTTCTTTTGAGGTTTAAACTTGTAGTCAGGATATTTAAGTTTATGTTCTAATTTGAGTTGCTTAGCACGTTCTCGCCAATACTCTTTAACATCCTCAGGTTCATTATTCCACATATTAGCAGCATGAATAGATACAACTTTATTATTCATACCGGGGTTATCAGCCAAAAACTTTTCTTTTATATGTTCACGATAGGCCATGAAACAATTTTTAGGACGAGGAATATAGTTCTTATCGGCTTTGCGTTTTCGATAGGCGGACAAACGCGTAGTAGTTGTTGTTGTTGTAGTAGTTGTAGTGGTAGTGGTTGTTGTAGTTGACTTTGTATCAGTAGAAAAGGATGAAGGTTTACACTTTGGAATATCCATCGGTTTAGAAGCATTGTTTAAAGGAACTCCCTGAGGGGAAGAAGTAACCTGAGCATCAGAAGGAGAAATTGAATGTTCATCTTCAAGTTTTAATGGAACCAATAGTACGTCATAACCCCTTGGCACGTGATATACATTATAATCAGGGTCGGAAATCGAATTTGGAGAGTGAGGAGCAGATGTATCTGAAGAATTAGGTGACCATGAAGCATCATCCTGTTCCTGTTTAAAGTAGTCCAAATTCGCAGTTGAGTTCATTGTGTATTCTGCTGTTTAATAAAAATAATTAAATAATAAAAATAAATAATAATTAATATTAATAACAATAAATTAATAATAATTATAATAATAAAAATTTGAGCGGGAAAGACCCGGAAGTGGAAGTAGAAGTTTAAAGAAACAAAGAATATAAAAGAAATAACTTTTTAAGGCAACATACTGGATGCAGTTTCCTTTTACAATAAAATTCCCTTAGAGAAAAAAAAAAAAGGACGT